ACACAGGTCTCTTCTCTATGTCGACTCTTCCTATTTTATAAAGAGCTTGCTTTTTTCCCCGTGTAACCAAAGTATGGAAAATATTAAGTTATTACCGCACCCAAAACCCAGTCAATCTGATGATTATTATCTAATGTTATAATGATCACATTTTTAATCCAATTATGCATGTTTGAATCTTTCAAATTTTCTTTAATTAAAAATTGCCTCCTGGCACTGCTGTCAGAAATAAGAAATTAAACAGAGTCAGCCAGATATAATGTGATGTTGAAAGGAACCTGCAAGGGTAACTGGGCCTCGCTGGGTTTAGTGTTGACCATGACTTTACAGCCCTCACACAAAATCCCCTAATTGATAAGAAAAATTTAATCATCTTCAGATACACTCGGTTTGCATTCAAATAAGGCCTTCCTTTTTCTAAATAAACCTCCTCTAACTGATTATTCATTTTGTCGTTCAAAATGCTTAAAAATGAAAGACAGAGTTGGGCGCAATGTAGACTACTTAATACAGTGTGTATTTAATATAAAAGCCATGCATTATTCATTTTTGCAATTTGAATAACTTTCAATTTAGCATCCCTGTTCCTCATCTTTTTCTTTGATGAACAATTAATTATTAAAATACAATATTGCCTGCATCCAGCACCCAGGATCCTTGAAAGTGGGATGAGATTCATTCCTTTTCAGTTCTTTTATCTAGTAATGCACAGTACCTGCTTATTACGGTATAATGGAATGAATGGTGGTATAAGTACAGTGTTTCAAATATTTTTCCCAACTGGTAAGTGGCTAGAATAGGAATGTTTTGAATTCAAATGACTGATTAGGATAGAAGTTGGGAAAGGAAAATCTCTGGTGGGTGGTGCGGGCCCGCGCTGCCCGTTTTTCCTGAGATTTATTTAGCGCTTCTGTAAGAGCAGTTCATTCCGCACGCAGCGCGGTGTGCTGTGTCCTTCCTCCCTCCCCACCGCTGTGGTCAGGAGACGCCAGTCCTGGGCCAACCCACTGAGCCCCGGTGTTCCCAGGCGCTGTGGCCCGCACTGGAGACGCTGCACGTTCCCAGAGGTGTCCCAGTGTGCAGTGGGGTGCCCGTGCACCCCGTTTGTCGGGTGCGCGCTGCCTGGCGGAAGCAGCAGGAAGAAGCATGCCCAGGAGGATCAGTGTGCGCTGATGTTCCCTTTGAACTTAGAAAACTCCACGGGGGAAACAGCTAGAGAGTGAATTCCGTAATGTGGCGTTCACAAAAAAGACGTCATCCGGTGATGAACCTGGGCGTGCTCCCTTTCCCTGGGCCCTGGCGTGTCTGGCTGTGACGAAGGTGACTCCTGTACTTGGGACCCTTCCCGATGCTTACATTAAAGTAGTGGTGGGAAAGATTCAAGTGAGAGCTGACCTCACTCCGATACCTGCTTTTGTGTGGCTCTTTACGTAAGAGAATAGTTTTTACATTTGATCCTTAATCAGGTGAAATGCTATCCCCCCAAAAAAAAAATTGTTTTCGTCTCATTAAGTAAATTATGTTTTGAAGATTGTACTTAGGTTTTTGGTTTTTGCTCTTTGGTACGAGGGATTGAACTCGGGACATTGCACTTGTGAGGGAGGCAGCAGAACCACTGAGCTAAATCCTCAGTCCGATTGGACTTAGTTTTTATTAACATTTTTAGTGTTCTTGATGAGGTTGTGGAAGTGAGTCTGTTATATAAGTACCTACACAACATCTCTGATTTTGCCTCCTGGCCTACAAATCCTAAAATATTTACCATTCAGTGCTTTGCTGAAAACGTTTGCTAAGCTCTGATTTAGAATACGGAATGAGCCAGCATGGAACTCTCCGGAGCTTTCTCTCAGCCAAGTGCTTCCTTCATAAACCAGGGCTTACAATGGCCCGGGAGCTGTGTTAACCGATTTATGCTGAAGATTGCATTTTTTGAAATTTCTGCATGAAACCCATATATATTACTTAGAAAAATTCAGGGGAAAGCATTTGAACAGAAAAATTCTGTTATGTTCCTTTGTTATGGGTGTTCCAAAAATGGAACTCCAGGAAGTGAAGGCTTAGGGCCCTCACGTCTGTTAGCTTCTTAATTGTCACAGCAGCCCTGATACTCTCCTAACTGCACATCGCAGAATGAGCTCAGCATGGGGAGGCCTCAGCCCGAAGGCACACAGCGGTGAAGTGCAGTTGGCTCCAGAGGCCATGCTAGGCTCTAACCAGGCTGATTTAAGCCTCGTCATTTAGGAAAAAGGGAAAAGATGTATGTCCAGATCACTAGAGGAAGTACATGTTAGGATCACGGTGGCTTAGAGGAACAGTAGTAGTGAAATTAAGAACAACGCCGGTCACTTGTGGAATGTTCCCATGTTCCATCTTTGCAGTACCCGGCAAGGCATTGTACCTTCTTGTGCTCACAGCAGCATACCTGCCATAGCCGGGATTTGAACCCTCGAAGGCTGAGCATCTGCTCTCCTCACGCAGCCTTGCTGGGAATGGAGGCGTGGGGCTGGTGAGGGCAGCTGTTTGTTAGATGTGAGGGTGTCCGGCCTCCAGGAACACTGCTCCGGAGCCCCAGAGAAGTCCACTCAAGCTTCCGTGTTCTCCTGGAGTTTCACCTTTGGCTCTGTTACTTTCCCCAGACCTGAAATTGAGGAATTAGACCAAGTGGTGGTTTTCAGAGACCCTTAGGAGGGGGTCTCAGCGTCAGCCCTGTGGCTGGGCTTCTAGCTGCATGAGCTGCTGGGCTCCTGGGTGGGCCTCTGTTTGACGAAGTGGGACTTGGTTCTCCTGAAGCCGCTGAGCCGTGGTGGCCTAAGGCCTTTCCAGACCGGATGGCGGAGCAGTGGGGGCAGTGACACCAGGCCCTCTGTGACCTCGCAGCTCAGTCTCACCTCCTGTTGGTGAAAGCCAGAGTCTGCCTCGGGAGCCCGGGTGGCCCAGGACAGAACAGCCTTTCTGCACCGCCCTCAAAGTTCCCACTGAACCCTGCCACCCCCGGAGCCCACCCGGAATTTACCAGTCCTGGTGTTGCTGGGGAAGTTGGTACTTTATTCGTTTGTTTGTTTTTTAAGACAAGGTCTTCATTTGTAGTTCAGGTTGACCTCAAAATCATGGCAGTCGTCCTGCCTCAGCTGGGATCACAGGCGTGTGCCGCCATGCCTGGCTAGTAGGTAGTTTAGACAGGGCTTGTCTGGCTTCCCGGTGGCACATACGGCATGCCTTCTAGCACCCTAACTCCAGATGAGTCATTAGGGAATCTGCAGGGTTTTCTGATGGTTCGGTTTGTGGTACTTGAGGGGGCAGTGTTGCAGCTGGCTGCGCCAAGCCGTAGGCACCCTTTGTCACTTGGGACTTCGTGTTGGCTGTTTGCACAGCTCAGAAAGCCCAGAGGAAGAGGGCAAGGACCAGAATGTTTCCTTCTCCTGGCAGCCGAGTCCCAGCCAGGCATCCTTGCAAAGATTCCCCCGCTGTCAGTTGCGGATACCCAGGTTTAATGAAAGCCCAGGCTGCCAGTGGGCAGAGGACCAGCCTTGCTGCTCCCAGCCTCCCTGTCCAACAGAAACTGCCTTTCTGTTCTGACTACAGAACCCCGTGATGTGAAGACTGGCATTTATCAGTTAATACTGAATTTCTTCTTTGGAAAACAAATGAATCAAAAACATGTGCAAGAGTCAACTTTGGCTTTTGAGTCTTAGAATAATTGCTGTTGCTCCCACTGAGTCTTGACCTTGGCTTCATTGTATGACCTCCATGTGCCTTGACTTCCACACCTGTAAAGCTGGAGCATGGGAAGTAGGCCTGTGGGGTGAGACTGAGCAGTGGTGTGGGGTGGAAGGCTGGTTTTGTATCCGCCTCTGTACCCTGGGGTCATAATAGGACACACCGTGTGGGGTCATTGTAATCCAGGAAGTTAACATTCGAAAGCTCTGACAGTTTGACCTGGCACAGTAGTTCGTGCTGTTTAGATGTTTATAGAATCTGACTAGAATAATGCCTGGCATGTAGTAAAGCCCAAATAAACTTGAGTCTTATTCAGCTGTGCTCTTCCAAAAGAAAATTACGATTTTCTCCATTCTAGTAGTTGATCTCCATTGGGATTTTACACTATCTTTCGGTTACTAAGACCTTCAGAGTCTAGGGGTAGATGTGTCTAGTGCTTGCCTTGGTTTATCTGTAGCAAAGATAAAAGGGAAGTGACATGAAGCTGGGAAAGAACATTTCCTTAGGCACAGCTGTGTCTGTACTGTTGGTTTCGAGCCTGAGGGCCCTGGTGAAAGCCACCCAGGAGCCAGAGCACACCGGCCGCTGGACTCTTACTGTGTTAGTGCATCTTGAACAGGGAGGAAAGAGAGTCTCAGATGTAAAGTGGGGGCCACTTCTCTGGCTTGGGAAGGAAGCTGGGTGATCTGCTCGGGTGTCATCCTAACGAGGCATAGCCACCTTTGGGATTGCGTGTCCTTGTTGGTTTATGGTTTTGTTTTCATAGCGACTCTCATTGTGACCAGAGTTTGTTCTGCTGGTTTTCGTCCGTAGTTATTAGATGGAGGAGGGTTCTGGGCTGAGACATGGGGAAGTGTGGGCTGCTCAAGACCCTGCTTGTGTCTTTTCTGCTCTTGGAAATGGAGATGGAGATGACACCATGCTGGACTGTTTCACTGCTTTTTCTGGGGCTGTGAATCTACTATCACATTGCTCACCATGTTAAGCGTGAAACCTGTTCTTTAAAAAATGTAGTATGGGCTGAGGATTTAGCTCAGTGGTGCTGCTGCCTGCCTTGCAAGTGCAAGGTCCTGAGTTCGATCCCTGGTCCCCCCGCAAAAAAGTAGTGTGGTACTGGTGTCCTCAGGGCACACCCTGAGAAGTAGACCTGGTTTTCTGAGCGTCTGCCACCATCTTGCAATGTGCCTGTGCATACACAAGCAAGTTTAGCACTGTGGTGACAGTGTGTGTCTGCAACAGTGTGACTTACATTGTGCTCTTTCTGTCCCGCTTTCCTCAAACAGAGAAGGAGACCTTCTTGGACCCTTTCATCCTGCGGGACCTACTGCCAGCGTCCCTGGGCAGCTATTACCGCTACACAGGCTCTTTGACCACCCCTCCGTGCAGTGAAATCGTGGAGTGGATCATCTTCCGGAAGCCCGTGCCCATCTCCTACCACCAGGTACAGCCTCTGTGCCCGGGGCACTTCCTGTCTCCTGGCTCTGTGTTGACTTGACTCTGCAGCGGGGCAGGAAGGGTTCTGCTTTGTTTTTTATTCTCTGCTCTTCATTGATTTCCTCATTCTTTCCAACAAACATGCTTTGGAAGGCAAAAATAGTAAAATATAAAATACAGATTCTAAGCTAAAAATTGACTAGCAGAGGGGAGTTTCAGGCAGGAAGTGAGGTACTGTTGAAAGCCTCTCTTGAGGAGGTGATACGTGCCATCCATGCTGACATCTTGCACTGGAGACTCTTCTGAACTCTTACACTGTGTCAGCCTGTTTACATCCCATGAATGCAGGCTCGAGAGGGAGATGCTGTTTGTACCCCACTTCGCAGAGAAAACCAACGGTTGTGGAAGATAAGTAACTTCCCCATGATCACACTGCTAGTAACCAAGCTGTGGTGTCTAATTGAAAAAAAAAAAAATTATTCTCATAGTTCAGAAAAGAGAGAGGTTTGAAAGCACAAGGAAATGAAATAAAACCTATTACTGATTGAGCTTTTTCTGAACGACAGCGCTTTACTAAGCACTTCACATATGTCAGCCTAGAACCGTTGTGAGATGGTGCTACAGCGACGTGGCCCACACAGAACGACGCCATCCGGAGAGGTGGGGTAACGTGCCCGGGATGCATGGCTAGGAACTGAGAGAGCCTGACGCCAGGCCTGGGTATGTCTGATTCCAAAACCCAGGAGTTTCTGACCAGCTGTACTACTCTGCTTTCTCTGGGGGTGGCCTGAACAAAGCCAGGAAGGCAGAATTCAGACTGAGCAGTGAATTGCGAGAAGTTGATGGGGCTTTGTCAGAGAGAGGGAAGCTGCCAGGGAGCTGGCGCGGGGGGCTTTGCGTCACCTCAAGAGCGTCGACAAATAGAAAGGGTGAATTCTTCGAAAAGGCACGTTATTGTCCAAACGTCAGCTTGCACTGAGTCAGACAAAGAATAAGATGTCTTTTGCATAATTCTCAAAACTAGGGCCAGGAGCAGTGGTAGGCTCTGTAAGAACGTGAACTTGAGCCACTAGTCAGGACTGTCAGAAAATGGAAGGTTCTTATCCGGGGCCTCGTGGCCATGGTCTCGCGCCCCCGTCCCGCGAGCTCCACAACTGAGGGTAGCAGTGCTGTAGAGGGAGGGAGGAAGTTGTGGGATTAGACGACAGTGCCAGTAGTGTAACAAAAGACCCTGGCACCCATCCTTTGAGCCTGGCTGGCATGGGGAGTAATCCCAAGATTTTCCTAACCAGGACAGGGCACAGAACAGAGAGTGGGGAAAGGGCTAGTGTTCTATCAGGTTGTTTCTGAATGTGAGACACGAGTTAGAACAGCTCACGCAGAAGGAACAGCAGTGAGGGTGTTCTGCGGCGAAGCCAGCCGAGTCTTATCCTGGAACTAGAAAGTGAAGCGCATGTTTCTCTGTGTCTTGCAGGGCCCGTGTCATCTCTCAGCGCTTGGCATTTCTGATGTAGCTTTGGGGTCAGTTCTGTACTAGTGCAAAACCCTGGTTTCTGGTTCCTCTTGGCTCGCTTTCTGTAGGTTCCTGGTCTGATAAGGTTGCTCTGGCACCTGTTGATCTTTAGAGTGAAGGGCTGCTTACCACCCACAGACAGTCTGGGTATAAGGTCGGGTTTTTAGAAGATAGTTCTGAGTAAATATTGGCCACCTACCTAATCAGCTGACCGTGAGTCATGGTCTTTCCCTGAATAAGTCATCCAAGGTTCCAGATAATGTCCCAGACACCCAGTGTCAGCTTTCTGGGGTGAGCAGGTTCTTTCTCAGGCTGCAGGGAAGGGAAGGCATGCTACCCTTCTGACAGAGAAGGTCAGTGTGGGGCCAGGCCAGACTGATTTATGTGGCTTCCCTGCTGTTGGCAGATATTCTGAGATACTGGTTTTCCTTTTAATTTCACTCTGACCAAAACAAACAAAAACAAAAACAAAAAAGGAAGTACTGGCAGTTTGGTTTCTGAACAGGATCTGCCAACCATAAGCAGATAGTGAAATACGAAACAACTTTTCTTCCTAATGGTGACCAACATTGTTTTATAAAAGACAAAATTACAGTACAAATACTTATTTCTGCAAGGCTGAGGGAAGAGTTTTTTAAGGGACCCATTTTCTCACTTAAGTAAATGCTTTTTGTCTCCAAAGATTTAAAGATTTGAGATAATAAAATTAAGAAATACAGGTTTATCCTCCTTTTCATAGGATTCTGGGTAAAGGAAGAGGCAGAGAGTGGCAGTCAGTTTGCCGGGGGCAGCCAAGGATCATGAGCACCAGCACAAGTTACTGCAGCCCCGGATGGTTATCATCTGAACAGAAGGCGCAGTCTGGGGCTTGGACATCTGCGCAAGTGTTTGTCAGTCAGAAGCATTTGGCATCTGGTAACTAGAGGCTCAGGAAGCACTTGGTACCTGCTACCCCATCCCCTCTACTTCTGGGACACTAAGGGAGTGGGGAATAAAGCAGGCATTTGCTGTGCCTTCCAGCACATGACCTCTCTGAATTTTATTTCAGGGGAACCAAAAAATAAATTCATCCTGTTTGCCTTCCAGTTTCTTTACAACCATCTTTAGATGATCTTTGCTTTTATCAAATGCCTTTCTGTACTTCCCTGCCCCTCTCCCAAGGAGGAGAACGGCTCCCATTCACATGGCCGGAGGGACCCTCGCCTCCGAGTTCTGTGGAGGTCCCAGCCATGGCAGCCCTTAGAAAAGCAGGCGTCAGCCATCCGAGGGTTACCATCACAGGCCCCCACCTGCCCTGCCAGTGTTCATTTTGAAACTTAGCCCAGAATGTTCAGTTCAAAAAGGCAGACAGCCAGTTTGGAAAAGCCAAGTAGTTAGGAGTTCCAGGTCAGCTTCCAGCAGAAAGGAAACATTCCGAGTCTTTCCCTCTTCTCATTTTCAGAAGCCCCTGCCTGCTCTCCTCTCCCTGACCGGGTGTGGGTGCCTGCACACAGCCCTCACTGCAAGCTCTTGAGGCTTGGGGTGCAGCCCTGGGGGTGGCACATGTGCCTGTGGCCCGTGATGAGCTGGATAAAGTGTGGTGCTGCCAGCGTGGTCACAGGGGACAGCGCGGCTCATGGCTGAACTACTCTGCTGCTTAGTGTGTGCGCCTTCCCACCTGTAAAATGGTCACGGTGGGGGCATCATAGGGCTTAAATGAGAAACGTCCCTGAAATACCTAGACTAGTGCCTGGCATCAGCGCAAGTGCTTGGGAGACAATTCGAGGTTTTTGCTGCCACTGTTAAATGCTTGCCGGTCCTTCCAGTGGAAATAGAACAATCCACAAGCGTCGTTTTGTATTTTCTACTCCTCACATAGAAAAACTGTGGCCAGTGAGAAATGAAGTTAATTCACATGAGCCGGTTCCGTACATCCACTGTCTTTTCACTGGAGGCGAGCCCCATTTCTAACAGGATAGCCCCATGCGGCGGTGGCCGTCACAGCTCTAAGGTGTGTCTCAAGGCTGTGACAGCAAGTGAGAGACTTCCTTCAGGTGGCTTCTCTTCCAGCGCTGTACGGTGTGCAGAGCTCGGCCTTCTTCCTGCGCGACCACCCTGCCCTGCGCAACAGGCCTTTCTAGAGCAGCTCTTCTCAGACTTCATCTCTGCAGCTGCGGCGAGTAGTAAACTTGGGATGCTCCAGGCTGTTGGGGTTTCATATTCCATCCTGACTGTCTCATTTAATAATGAGGAGACAGAAAGGGGCCTGCCCTGTCACCCGTCAAAAGTACAGTGAAACAAAAGTGTCTCTGTGACCTTCGGTGAGATACCACCGTGCCCAGGGCTTACCGCTGGGTAGGTTATTGTGCTCATAATGGACGCTGGTTTTGTTTAATCGCCACTGTGTGTCCATCCCTTCAAACACTGTGCACCAGCCCTTTCATGGCTCATGATTCTGTCACTGTTGGCTTCCTCTCACCTCCCCCTTCAGCCACAAGATCCCTCCTCACATTTTGGGGACTAAATGCGTTTGCTGCACAGGATTGGTGTGAATAGATTTCAGCTCTCTTTTGATTCCAACCAACAGATTAAAAACTAATTATTCTCTGTAATACTTTTATAATAAAAACTAAGTTGAAATGATTTATATACACTTCCAGCTAACACATTTGCAATTCAAGGTTAAAATTGTTCTTGAAACAGCACCAGTTAAAATGCAATTACAACTCCCCAAGCAGGGATAAAAAGAAAGAAATGTTTTACACATTCACTTCAAAAGTTTAAAAGTCAATCTCATATTATAGAAAAAATGTTTTACACATTCACTTCAAAAGTTTAAAAGTCAATCTCATATTATAGAAATAAAAACTTTCATTTGTTTTTAACTAAATGATAAAGACTTCATTAGGTATATTAAAGTCAAGATAAATCCCAGTGTATTTATCACCTGCCTGGGGAAAGGCTAAGGTGGGTGGAAGGCGGGCTCTGTGGGGTGCAGAGTGGTTTTTGTGGGCCAGCGCCGTGTTCACGTGGCCCGATTCTTCCTGGCTGGGCCGTGGGGGGTAAACGCATGCTCCCAGCACTAGAGTCCCTGCCTGGAGTGGCTGGGGCCAGCAGAGGGAGCCGTGTGGCACTTTTATCACTGCAGCTGTGGTCAAGGTGCTTGAGAATGTGACAGACATCGCACAGACTGCGGTTCTAATCCTCCCCTCCCCTGTGGGTTCCCCTGAGAGCGCAGGCAAGGTGTCTCCAAGCCTGTTTCTCTCATCAGTCAATAATATTCATACCATTAGTGACAGCAGTGCCACCAGCCTCCTAGTTTCTGTGGTGACGGTAATGGACACTGCATGCTGCCTCGTACACAGCACCTTGCACATAACAGGTACTCGATAAGCATCAGCTACTACTGTTAATGTTACTATAATGGTGTTGTTCATAATGTTAATGTTATTTTTTGAAGCTCAGAAGAAGTTAGAAACCAAAAAACATTTGCAAAGTGCTTGGCAAACTGGCACAGTAACAGACTTGATAAATATTAGTAGTAAGAAAAAAAAAAAGAAGGGAACAGCACATGTAGTACATTATAGTGTTGTATGTGTAGAGAGCAGTCAGAGTTACCACATTCCTCAAAAAATCATAACAGCCGGGGATTTAGCTCAGCGGTTTGGTGGCCTGCCTTGCAAGCGCAAGGACCCAAGTTCAATCCCTGGTACCAAAAAAAAAAAAAAAAAAACCTCAGTATAAAAAATCATAACAGCAGTACTGATCATAATACTAACTAAACACCTGCTGTGTGCCAGGAGTGCTTCCGAATGTGTCACATAGAGACTCACTGAATAATAAAAACCCTACCAAGGAGATAAAATGTTATCTTAAGGATTAAGTAAGGTGACATTTGCCAAGTGGGGTTTCAAGGCAGGATTTGAAACCTTAGGCAGCAAGAGTAAGTTTTGCAGTTGGAGACACAGTCACAGACTGGATCTTTAGGGGCCCATGGTTAAGAGTGGAAGACTTGGAAACAGTGAGAAGCAAGTGTGGTGTGATCTTGTTTTCACTTTAAAGAAGCACCGTGTTGCTCTAAACCAGATTCAGAAGGGTGAGAACGGCAAGACCCCAAACACTGGACAGGGCAGAGGCCAGAGAAGCACAGCTCCTGTGGTCTGTCTCTGGCTCCAGCCCTGCCACACAGCACCAGGGCCCAGAGGCTCTCAGTGGACTTCCGGTGTGGGTGATTACGCTCCCTGCCCGTAAGAGGCCTGCATCCTTCCACCCAACAGCCGGCCTCGCCTGTCACCAGAGAGAGAGGAGTAGTGGGCTTTTCATGAATACTGGCCACCTGTCCAGGGCATTGGCTCAGCCTACTCGGCTTGTCCTTCTTGCTGAACTGTGTCGTGTGACTATCAAGCGAAGCTGCAATACAGCTGACAATAAAGTCTCACTTGGGTCGTCAGTCCGCCCTCAGAGCCATCCCATCCTCCCTTCAACATCTGTGGGCAGGTTGAGTTAATGACAACAAGAGAGCTTTTAGGCCACAACGTGTCATTATCTGGAAGAGCAATTTAAGCAAAGCCATGTTTGTGTTAAATTCAGAACCTGCCTCTTTTTACAGTTACACACTAATTCTTTCCTGAGGCATCAGAAATAAACTTTGTAAGAACACTGGCTGTGAAGGATGCAAGTATTCTAAAGAGTAAACAGACCTTGGAGTCATACTGCCCAGACAGTCCCCAGCACTGTCCTTTTCCTGCATTTCAGGGTTTAACCTATCTCAGGACAGACTGCTGTCTCTTGCAGAAAATTTCCAGTCCCACTTGCTATGTATGGCAGCCCATTCCAGCCTTTTTAAAAGACCCTGAAAGTTAAAGGAATTTGCCCTTTCCTTTACTCACATCTTTATGGCTTAAATTTAAGCCAATTTCCTTTTAGTCGGCCTTTTCTAGACATAGAGAAGAGCTGGTCAGCATGTTCCACATACAGGGCCTTTAATCAAATTCCTCCTTGCTTGCCTTTTTTTGAGACTAAACAGTTCCGCTTCCTTTAACCTTTCCTCTTGGGATTGATTTACCACCCTTTAAATCATTTTCCCTGGTCTTGCCTAGACCAGCTCCAGAGGGTCTTAGTCAATGCCTTTCCTATAATCTTAGAAAATTATTTTTTCTAAACAGAAACCTGTCCTCATGGTTTGAGGCATGTAGTTTGATTTTGGTCATTTTGTCAAGCAAGTCACGTAACAGGGTTGAAGTGATTTTTCGACACCTTACTTGTCTTCATCTAAGTGGCTCGTATCTGGATGAGCAAACAGCTTGGTTTTCTTAATCTTATCTGTCATTTATTACTTGCTGTCTTATAAATAAAGAAGAAAGAGTAGAAAGAAGGTTCCTGTAGACCCATCCTGATGGTGCTACCTGGTGAGAAGGTAGACTGGGCTTCTTCGTGGCTTATGAACACTGTACAAGCAGTGTTCATAGACCAGGGAGGAGGTAGGTTGACGGGCAGTTGTTCTTGGCTAAGATCTCTCTGTGAATCCATTGCTTTCTCATGAAAAAAGGAGTTTCAAGTTGTCAGCAGCAGGCATTTTCTGGGTCACCCTCTGAGGCTGGTAGAGAAACAGTGGTGTTGGCTTCAGGATTTAAAATGACCACCGAGAGTGGCCGAGGCCCTAGTGTTTCCTTTGTTCATCTTCTGGTCACTGCGATGGGGCTCGTGTCCTTCAGCTCCTGCACACCTACTTGGAGAGCGCTCATCCTGACTTGGCTGTGCCTGGCCACACCATTCGGCCTGGCCCTGCAGGAATGGAGGGACCGAGGGGCAGGAGCAGCTCCCCTGGGTTTTCTCTTGTTCCCTCCAGGGTTTGTTCCCACCCTGAGGAGGTGACTTTGCTAGTGACTGGCCATTTCCGATTCGGGTCATTTCATTGGTGACCAGGACAACTTTGTGGTCTGATGAGAACATGTCCATGAGGGCCCATCTTAGCTCTGTCCCTCACGCACTGTGTGGTGACCATTCTTAATGATCAGGGTGTTGGGGCCACAAAGAACCCCTTTTGATAACAGAAATAAGATCCTGGAGCTCAGATCATTTCTTTCACTGCCTTCCCCAAAAAGTTTTGTCAGCACATTGGTGAATGATGTCATTTAATAATAATGATGGCACGTTTTTATGGGAGGCTTACTGTGTGCTAAGTAACTTCCATAGGTTTATCTTTCAGGAAACCTAAAAGATAGGTTCTACTATTATACATGTTTTACAGGTGAGGCAGTTTCAGTGTTAGAAAGCACGAATGGTTTGTCCATAGTTAGCCATGTACTAAGTGTTGAACTTAGGTGGTTTAACACACATTTAGCATTTAGTGACTTGATGAGGGCTACTTTAGCCCACGGTTTAATGAGGTTTTAATAAGGTTTAATAAGGTTTAAATCACTGATATCTACTGCGGTCTTGTGGTACTCCAGGAACAGTTTCCAGGGTGGTATGTAGCTTAAGTGTTTTGTCAAGACGTCATGTTAACCAGAATCCTAATGAGGTAGGTACCGTTCCTTATGTCGTCATTTTACCGAGAACCTGGGACACTTAGGGACGTTCAGCAACTTGCTCTGGGTCCTAGAATGGGAGAATGATGGAGGCAGTGTTCACACCCAGGTAGTCCTGCTCCTGGACCTACCAGCTTGGCCACAGCTCTGTGCTCCTGCCCTGAACATGGCAGAAAGTGCGTCTGCCCTGGCTGGCACTGGGGTCTCCTGCCTCTTCGTGCTTTTGTCATTTCTACTGCACAGCTTTTCTAATCGATGTGGGTCTTTTTCTCCCCTCTCTGGTTTTCTGTGTAGCTCGAGGCTTTCTATTCCATCTTCACAACGGAGCAGCAAGACCACGTCAAGTCGGTGGAGTATCTGAGAAATAACTTCCGGCCACAGCAGGCTCTGAATGACAGGGTGGTGTCCAAGTCTGCTGTCCGTGATGCCTGGAGCCACGACATGGCAGACTTCTTAGAAAACCCACTGGGAACAGAAGCCTCAAAAGGTAAATTTGGATTAAGTACCCTGGCCTGGAGGAAGATTCCTTATCATAAATTACTTTAAACTGAAAGGAGGTCAAAGCCAGCCAAGCATTGGAGCTTGGTGGTAAGAGCCTAGGTCCCTCTGCTAGGAGAAGGTTGTCTGGGTGAAGGTTAGAAGCAGTTGGGGATAATTAGATATGTAGGTATGTTACAAATTGTCATTTTCTCTGTATTTTTCCCTTGTACTTTACAACTTAATAGCAGTGTCCAAAGGACGCTTTAACTATTTCCCTGTTGCTGTCAGGTCTTTTCTCTGAGGGTAAACATCAGGACCTTTGATCTGCTCGCATGCCCAGGGCCCAGCATTCCTGCTCAGTTGCACACCCAGGGAGGACTCTGCTCTGCACCCCTGCTGGAAGTCCCTTACATCTTAAACTGTGTGACAGTTTAATTCCCATATCTGATGAGCATGTGTTACCATTTTCAGGCATCTTCATCTTTTCCATTTCTGCTTTCTCATGGGAAATGAACGTGGATTTCTCTCCCAGGAAGCCAGGGAGTCTGATTCTCCCTCACCTGCTTTCTTCTCTGGCTCTGGGGTTTATCAGAGTTGTGCAAGCAGCTTATCAGACACTTGGCTGGGCAAGGTTGGTCAGAGTTGTACTACTTGGGAGGAAGGGAAAAGAAGGGATTTTCTTATGGTGTAAAGAGACGGGCGTTTCTCAACCCAGTGTTCTCCTTGGAAGTGAGCTTGGTGACATGGGAATGTTCAAGTCACCATGTCACAGTGGAGTGACACTGTCAGCATCATTTGAGCTGGGTGTGGTGCTGCACATTGAAAATCCTAGCACTTGGGAGGCTGAGGAAAGAGGATCACCTTGAGTTCCAGTCCAGCCAGGACTACATAGCAAGATATTGTGTCAAAAACCAAATAACAAAAATAGCATCTTTCTCTGAGAACTAGGGGATAATTAAACTCAGAAACTTGTGTGAATTATCTTGGTTCAGGCCAACATAGAAAACCTCACTGGGGCTCATGTTTTGGAAATGTAGCTAAAAATAAAGAAAATAACAAAACTCAACAGCTTCCCAAGAGAACGTGGTGGAGAAAAGCGGGACTCCTGGGAATTCACTGTTCTGTGAGAGGTACAGGGAGGAGGGGTGAGGAATTCGTGGTAGTTTGGGGTTGCTGAGATCTTGACAGCTGTGCAGCTCTTGCCTAAAACATGGGCTGAGCACACAGACAGGTAGATCAGCTGTGCAGAGGGAACGCATGGCCCCTGTTACTCAGCAGAAGTAAAGAATGTAAGGACTTGCCTAGCATTAAGTGTCAGAATCGGCAGGATCTGCTTTGATCCAGACTTGGACTCACCCTTAAATGCTCAGAGTCAGTTCTTCGTTCCTCAAAGTTCGTTCAGGTTGCCGTCATGGCCGTGGCCAACTCTTAATGTTAACATTATCTCTGGCCTTTTTGGAGGGGGTACCTAGATTGGGGTACGGTGCTGTTTGAGTTTTTACCATTGTAGAGGAACCATTCCTCCGAGGACTGACAACCGAGTCCATGCAGTCAGCCCAAAGTAGGCAGCGTGATGGGAGAAGAGGAATCCAGGTTTATCACATGTGTGGGGCATCACGTGACAGAAGCAGGTGTGAGTGCCTGTCACGGTTCAGATCTAGAATGTCCCCCAGAAGTCTCATGTTCAGAATGGGGCTTTGGGAAGGTGATGGATCACAGGAGCGCTGTGCTCACCAGTGGCTGGGCCCACTGACGAGTTCACAGTGGAATGAATATGCTTTTAGAAGTGGAGCTGGCTGAAAGAGGAGTGTTTCTGGGTAGATCTCATTCCTGGACTTCTCTTCGCTCTCTTCCTGGCTGCCGTGGGGTGAGCAGCTCTCACCTGCCAAAGCCTTCGTGATGCCCTTTCTGCCTTGGATCCATCCAACCGTGGATGAAACCCGAAAAGTAGGCACCAAATCAAACCTCTCCTCCATTCGGTTGTGGGCGTCAGTGCTCTGTCCCAGCAGTGTAGTCCCCGACAACCCCGGAGATCAGGTGCTTCCTCTGGAAGGCGAGGTCAGGAGCCAGTGCCACCTCAGTGCGGAGTGAGCAGTTCCGGGAGAGGTGACTGGGCCCTGCAGGGAAGAGGAGGCAGCCTGTGACCTAGGCTGTGCTGAAGCTTGGGGCCTGCAGCCGCCTCCTCTCCTGTGCTGTGACTTCATTTTCCTAGGTTGATGAGACTTGAGGGAGCAGATTCAAGAGTACTGAGTACCTTTTGGAGAGCCTGGCCTTAGGCAGGCAAGGGGAGTTCAGAGGAACCCCACCTCCCCTACCTTCACCAGATGCCCTCAGTCTGAAGTCCACACTGGCATATTTGGGCTTGTATTTCCTGAGCTGGTCCTACAGACTACTGGAACACGGCACATGCATGCACAGGAGTACAGCTGTGATACAGGCCTCGCTCGACCTAACACGCCCAACCAGCAGAGTCACGGGTCAGTAACTAACATCCCACCCTGCCAGGGTGACCCCACCCCTTCCTGACGGTAGCCACTGCCAGAGATTAGCTTTGCCTTTTGTACATTGCACGGCATAGAGTGAGTCATCGGTGCAGCATGTCCCTTGCTGTTTTTGCTTCTTCAGCTCTATGTTGGTTTTGAAAGTTCTCAGTGAGGTTGCAGAGAGTTGTGATTTGTTCTTTCGTGCTGCTGAATTCCACTGTGTGACTACCTGGGAGCTTACATGCCCCTTACAGCATATCTGGATAGGTGGATTATATCTCAGTTTTATTGATCATGAAAAGTTCTCGGGCATGCCTCTTAGTGAATATATAGATGAGTCTCTGGATATATACCCGGGAGTGAAATGGCTGCACCCTAGAGTCCATCGGTGTAAGTCTGGCTGGACAATTTTCCAGAGTCGCTGGGCGTGAGGTACTGTGCACTCAACAGCGGTTTGGGAAAGCCCGCCCCTCAACTCTCCCAGGACTGGGCTCAAACCCAGGACCGCACACGCTCAGTCAAGCCCTCCGCCTCTGAGCTATGTCACCCTCCCTTTTCGTTCGCAGCCTTTTCAAAAGGAAAGTTGGAACACTGTAAAACTCTGTTTTTGTAGATGTGCAGCTCTCGTGGTTTTATAAGTGTGCAGTTGTGTGAGCATTGCTGTCTCCCGGGTGTAGAGCCATCTTCCTGTCCTTGTCACAGATGGTCTCTCTACAGTCTGCTGTCAGTTCTCTCTCCTGACTTTATCCCCAGGCAAGCTCAGATCCGTTTTCCTTTCCCTTGCTGTGGGATTTTCAGATTCATCCATGTTGTAGCATGTGTCAGGAGGCTGTTCCCTTTTGTTACTTTTATTAGGTTTGGTGAGATTTAACTCCTGTTCTGTAAAGTTCACTCTTTCTTTTCTTTTTTTGGTACCGGGGATCGAATTTGGGACCTTGCGCTTGTGAGGCAGGCGATGGCACCACTGAGCTAAATGTTCATTCCTTTTAAGTATGCACCTCAGTGGTCTTTAGTACTTTCACCATGTTACATAGGCGTTACCGCTACCTGGTTTCTTCACCCCACAAAGAAACTCAACGCCCACGTCAGTCCCTGCTCCCGGGCTCCGGCCGCTTCTTTCCTAGCCTTCAGCCCCACACAACCACTAATCTACTTTCTGTCTCTCTGGGTTTGTCTCTTCTGTACATTTATTGTAAATGGATCATACGGTGTGTGACGTTTTGTCTCTGAGTTCTTTCACTTAATATTTTAAAAAATTATGTGTATGAGAGCATGAACCAACCATTCCATTTTATGACCAAACGTAGAGTGCTGTGTGAATGTACCACTTCTTCATTCAAGTCTCAGTTATCGGGTATTTTAAGTTTTCCCATTTCGGGGATGTTAAAAGTAATGCTTCTCTGAATATTCACGTTCATGTTTTTGTATGAGCATCTTTTCCGATCTCAGGAGTACCGCTGCTCACATACTGTAACTCCAAGTTCAGTTTTATGGAACTGCCAAACTGTTCTCTGAAGGAGCAGCTCCTGTTTCTGTTCCCACTGTCACCCCTGATGTTTGTGCGTCTTTTTTTATTTTAGCCGTTCTAGTAAATATGAAGCCATTCCCTTGGTGCTTTTCATTTCCATTTCCATGCCTAAGGACACGTCTTTTTGCTTGTAAAACCACAGCACCTGAAACTCTAACTTAACTAAGCGTACCCCCTTTTCTCCCTAAGGAAACTGAGGCACTTCAACAGCACTGTAGACCGCAGGCCGCCTGTAGATGCTCACTCTCCTCAGAGAGCCTGGCTGGCGAAGAGCAGGGATGGCGAACCTTTTAGAGAAAAGTGCCCAAACGGCAACCCAAACCCCATCTATGTGTCACGGAGTGCCAACACTGCTGTAATACCTGAATACTGAGGTTTTAGTTTAGGAAAAACAGGTCATACATTAGCATCTTTTGTCTTAAAACCGCGATAACTCTTGTGCCATACCTTCGCTAGCACTGGCGTAGATGACCAATGTGAGAGGGAAAACCAGTCAACAGGCAGTGCAGAGGGAGAATGCTTTTCTTTTCAAAGTTCTCTGCATGCAAAAAGGCCTTTAAAAATAGAAGAATGTATTCTGTAATCTTTGGGCAATTGAAAAAGAACAAAGCCTGTGTAATCGGCATTCTTTGTTGGATCATCGTTGGAAGCTTGCAATGCCCAAGAAAGCTGTGATGTTTTATGCATTTATTGGGTCATTGTCACAGAAGAAGGAAAAACAAATTAATCATGTAAGGCAGGAGTTGATAAACTTTTTTGGTTGAAGCCCAGATAATAAATGTATTGGCTTTCCAGGCCATATGCACACTGTGGCAACTCCCCAGCTCTGCCATGGTAGACTGAGAATAGCCATGGACAGTGTCTTTCAGTAAAACTTATCTACAGAGTTAAGTGCAGAGTAGATTTGACCTGGGAACCATACTTAAATGACTCTCCCTGTGCTAAGGGAGTACAATGGAAAACATCACGGGTGCGGCATAAGGCACACATGTCGTG